CCCTGGGTTACTGGTGCACCTAAGTCCTGGGGAGCGGGTGCTGCCCTGGTGCTGCCCTGGGTTACTGGTGCACTAAGTCCTGGGGAGCGGGTGCTGCCCTGGTTATTGGTGCACCTAAGTCCTGGAGAGTAGGTGCTGCCCTGGTGCTGCCCTGGGTTACTGGTGCACCTAAGTCCTGGGGAGCGGGTGCTGCCCTGGTGCTGCCCTGGGTTACTGGTGCGCCTAAGTCCTGGGGAGCGGTGCTTCTGCAGCGATGTGGCTATGGAAAAGGAAGTACAGCCACTGATGAAGTGCCAAGGAGGACAGGGCCTTGGTTAGGGAAAGCTGCCTTCAAAGACTCCTTGGGAAGGTGAGAGGGGAAGGACAGTAGGCGTCCTGGGCCCTCTGAGGCCTCCATGCTGCCTCCACTGTAGCTCTGGTGACCCCCCAGGCATCTCTGGGCCCAGGCCCAAGTGGGTTTCTGCTGTGCTGCAATCCTGGCTCCCAAGTCCCCCTGTACTTTCTGAGTTCCTTGCAGGGGCCTGGATTCAGCCAGCCCTTCCCCAGGATCATTAACATAGCTTCTGTTCTTAATTACAGACTTCCTTCCTGGCCCAGCATTTAAAAAACAAATGTACCATCTTTACCATATTTAAGTGTGCAGTTCAGTGGTGTTAATTACTTTCACATTCTTGTGAAACCATCACCACCATCTATGTCCAGAACTTCCTCACTGTCCCAACCTGAGATTTGTCCCCATCAGCCACTGACTCCCCACACCCTCTCCCCAGCCCCTGACCCCACCATTCTGCTTTCTGTGCCCACAGAGCTGGCTCTTCCAGGGACTGTAGAGTTGGCTTGTTCCTCTCAGCATGAAGCCTACAAGGATCATCCGTGTTGTAGTGCACGTCAGAATCTCCTTCATTCTGAGGCTGATAATATTCCCTAGTACAGACAGCCCACATTTTCTTATCTATTCTCCTGTAAAGGACACCTAGGAGGCTCTGCCCTTTGGCTGTGGTGGAGAGTGCTGCTGCGAAGACAGGTGTCAGATGTCTGTCTGAGTCCCTGCTTGCAATTCTTTGGGGCATGAACCTGGGGATGTGGTTGCTAGAGGTCAGGCTCTCTGACAAGCCTGTCTTTATTAGGGCTTGGGTTACAGTCTGAGCCCAGCACCCCTAAAGGGATGCTCAGAGCGACTTTACAAAGCATTCAATGAATGAGGTGAATGAATGAATCTAATCTCCAAGATTCTCACAGGACCAAATAAGATAATTAAAAATGCATTTCAAGAACATTTGTCACTAACAATATCAGTTCCACAAACACAGACTGTGTGTGTGATGAGATGGAGAAAATTTTATCTGGAGAATTCTTTTTTTTTTTTTTTTTTTGGCAGTTTTTTAGCTGGGGCTGGGTTTGAACCCACCACCTCTGGCATATGGGGCCGGTGCCCTACTCCTTTGAGTCACAGGTGCCACCCTGGAGAATTCTTTTAAGAGAGAAGAAACACTTTGATAAATTGCTTATAGGAGAGTAAGATCCCTAAAGGAGTTTGAAGCAACAAAAATGGCTAAATTCCTGAGGCAATAGCAGTTTCCATGTGTCCTGGGAGAGGGAGAAGGACAGAAGAGAGCAGGAGAATAGGACAGCAGTGACAGTGGGTGACACGTGGGTGCTACTGTGGGCCAGGAATGGCCTTCTGGCTACTCCTCATGACGCCTACCCTGCAGAGGATAGAACTGAGACCCAGGCTTCTAAGTAGACCAACCAGAGCTCATCTGGGCTGAGTCTCCCAACCATGACCTTCCAGCACCAAGCTCTATGGGGAGGAGTAGGCACAGAGCAGATTCCTCGGGGCTGGGCCTCCCTGGAGGATCCCAGAGCTTCAGTGACAGCTTCCAAGCTCTGGAATCTTAGCTGAGTGGCAGTGAGGAAGGAAGGAATGAACTGGAAGTTCAGGTTGGTGTGGAATGAAGCAAATATCATGGGTGGAGCTAGAAGCCGTTGGGCAGGACTGTGAGGCTCAGGCTAGGGGAGGTCTGCTGTGTCTTGCAGCCTGGGAGCTGCACTAAGGGTAGAGGCCTGGTCCTGCACTACTTACCCAGGATGTCTGCTTAGGGTTTACTTATGTACCAAACAGGATTTGTAGAGAAACTGCTGTGAACCAGACACCGTTCCAGGGCCCTGGACCAGACCTCTACCCTCATTGAGCTCATAGGTTGGGGGCAGCCAAGTAGTGGAGAGACAGCACATCAGTGCAGTTGCAAGAGGGTATACACAAGCCTTCCAAACAGGTGGTCAGGGAAGACTTCTTGAAGAAAGCAAGGTCTGAGTTAAAATGCAAGGGGTGAGTAGAGTCGGGAAGGAGAAGAGGTCAGGGAAAATCATCTCTAGCGAAAACACAGAATATTGAGAGATACAGAGTCCAGAGAGAACACATGTTATTTTAGAAGACTTAATCCCCTGCCCCCTGGGGTGGGCAGGGGATCCCACACCCCATTTTGTACTTCTGTGAGTGGCCATCCCAGTGAGGCTAGCCTGGCTCCCCTGGGCAGCTCCCTTGTCTGGATGGCTCACCTGGGATGCCTGATCAGCCTGCTTGACCCAGGAGATGGGCTCACTGGACTGGGTGCCCCTCAGCCTAGAGTCCCTGGGGCCAGCTGGTGGGACCCAGGAGCCTGCACTGAACATCCTCCTGCTTCCCCACCCCCACCCCAGCTTCTGTGCCCCTTCTACCTCAACCCTCAAGGCCTTTGTCCCCACTCAACTGTCCCTCAGTGTGGCACATGTGATTTTCGGTGTCCATGTTGCCATCTTCACTAAGACATGAGCCTCTCAACGGGAACACTCACGCCCATCATTCCTGCACCCTTAGTGCCACCCACCCGAGTGCCTGGCTTGGCTGGAGGCACTGGATGTGTCTGGAATGGAATTAACTTTCTGGAGGAAGAAGAAAGTGGGGTGTTTTCCCCACTTTCCCAGTCACTAGAGAATGTCAGAAACCAAAATATTCCCTTTTGATTGCAAGTTAAATGTGGTGGCTTTAGTGTATGTAGGAAAGGGACAGAAGTTTATAGATAATCTGTTTCAGAGAACCACATTGGTTGTTTAATATTAGTCTCAGTGCCTTCTATTTTCTGGGTTTCTAGACCTAATTTCTTCATCCACTGATACTTGCTGGGAGACTCTATGACTTCCTCGATTATGGACTCGCTTAAGTGAGCCCATTTGTAATAATATGTGTAATTACATCAAGATGTGTAACACGACAGACACGAAACCAGCACGAAACTGGTAATGTGTCGAGAAACGCATGGGTTGCATTGAACAGTGAATCACAGTTTGCATGTTTTATTAAGGAAAAATAACCTTTCATTTTTTTTTTATTTCGCACAGCAAGAGAAGTTGTTGGATTAAAATTATCCCCGTGGATTTCCCTTTCTTATACAATAGTGGCCTAATTTAACAGATGTCAAGGTGAGGAAAGAGGCACTTGGTGTGTTTATGTGGCCCGGTTGGCACATGCTCAGGGTGACATCTTTGTGGTGGGTCAGCACCTCACCTGGGGATAGGGGAGACACATCTATATGAGTGTCCCCATCTGGGGGTCTCTCTCTAGAGCCCTTCCTCTCTCAGGCTTAGCAGGGTCCGAGTTTTCCTTGACTGAATTTCACCCCTCTCTGAAACGCAGTGGCGAGGCAAGTGTGGAAGGACTCCTGAACCAGCTCGTGCTGGACCACCTACAGCTGGCTCCGCTGCAGTGGGGTGAGTAGCTGCTGCCGCTCACCCGGTCTGGGTGAACAGGCTCCATTTCTCACAATGTGCAAGCATGTGCTCGAGGGGTATGTGGTTAAATGCCCCAGATGGAGCGTGTTAAAAAGGTCATCATGGAAAACTTTGAGAGAGGGAACTCAGCACACCACAGTACTGCCTGTGCTCACAGCTGTGTGCATTACCAAGCTGGGCAGCTTGGCACACAGTGCTGCCGGTCAGCTCTGTCAGCCTGAACTCACGGGAGGGCTCACTGCCTGCACAGCCCTGTGTGTTCCAGCTACACCTGGACCTCTGGGGGCTATATAGTTGGCCATGTTCCAAAATGGCCAGTGACCTTGTCTGGCAAGGTGTGTGTTCTGGGAATGTTTCTGGAACTTAGAGGAGTTTTGCGTGGTGGAAGAGAGCAGAGTAAAGGTACTTCCTTGCTTTTCTACTCATCGGGACTGGACTTTGAGAGCTTTTCATTCTGATGGTATGGGAAAGTGTGTGTTTGGTACACACCTCAACTCAACGAGGTTGAGGGACCCCAAACAGCCCATATTGTCTCACATTCAGGATGACCATTTGAATGTTTGCTTCCTTTTACAGCTAGGAGCTTTTACCCTGGTCTGTGCCTTGCTAAACTGCACTCAAAAATATTTTGCTGAGAAACAAACAGTATTTCTATAGAAGTGAGAGTCATTATTCTTAGAAAATTATTTCATTAGATAATCTATTTTGGATCAACTGCAAATAATTGGTTACAAACATATATATCCTCTTTCTTCCTCTTTACCCAAGAGATCATTTTGAATGAGTATTTCCTCTTTGATCTAAGATCCAGTTAATTAATAAGCTTGACTCACCTGCCCTTTTGCATGCTAGAGACATGTGGAAATTATCCCGGCAGCTTGAAGAAAAAACAAGCCTTTCTCTTTGGACCCCATCATTCCTCTTTATCCTTCAGACCTGCTTCCTGCAGAGGTGGCCTCATCTGTGCTGGCCACTGGCTTCTCATAGGTGAAAGCCAAGAAAGCCAGGTAGCTGTGGCATCTGTGACTGCTGTGCATTTAATACTTGGCCGGGGGGGGGGGGTCTCTTTCTGTGGCATCCTCACAGGCCTCCCCTGAGTGGAAGGAAGGGCTTGGTGTTTCTGTAGAGGTTTCCATAGTTGGTCCTTTGGAGACATCTCTGTCACCCAGACACTTCTCTAGGTTGCAATGTCCTATCTCCTGATTACCTGGGCATAGTCAACTGCTTTCACCAGGTTTAGGCAGCTGGAAAGAGTCAGATAACTGTACCATCCTGGCCATGGGGCTGCAACAGATCCCAATTAACTAGTCCTAACTTAATCCATAGCCATAGGAGGTTCCTGGCATATAAGCAGGACTTTCATGGAGAACATGAGCAAATGGGAGGTCACGGGCAGGACAGGGTTTGGGCCCAAGAGGAAAGAGCAGGGTGAATTGGGGTGGGGAGGTGGGCAGCACATGGGCCCCAGGGTCAGTAGCCCCAACCCCTGGCAAGGTCTACAAGCTGGCTTAGGGCCTTAGGTGAGGAATGACCAATGGGCACCAATGAGCAGAACCCTGGGGAGAAGTTTGGGCAGTAGCAGGTGGCAGGAGAAAGGCCTTCTCCCTTCCACTGCTCTTCCAGTTGGCAGGACAGGCTGCCGAGGATGCCCTTCCGAGAGCAGGGCCAGTTCTTGGTGCTGTTCTAGGTAACCCTGAGGAAGATGAGAGTCCTGAGACTGGATAGATGCAGGGCAGAGGAGAGGAGGGAGCTTGGCTTGTTGAGCATCTCCTCTGGCATTTTCCATGAGAGATGCCATTGACTCCCTGCCATGGTCCCGGAACCGAGGGTTTCACCACTCGTGGAGAGGCTACCCTGGCACACCCGGCTGTGTTACTCCACTTCTGTTTCTTGCTCTACTTTTTGTCCCCTTTGTATTATTTCATTTTCTGTTGCTTATAACAGAATACCTACAACTGGGTAATTTACAAAGAAAATAAATTTATTTCTTACAGTAATAGAGGCTGAGAAGTCCCAGATTGAAGGGCTACATCTGAGTTCTCCTTGCCGGTGGGGGCTTTCTGCAGGGCCCTGAGGCACTGCAGGGTATCATAAGGTGAGGGGCCGAGCGTTCTCACCTGCCAGCTCAGGTCTCTCTTCCTCTTATTAAGAAGCTACCAGTCCCCTCAGTGATGACCCATTAGTCTATAGTCAGGGAGACTCTTCATGAGGACAGAGCCCTCCTGACTGCTTAAAGGTCCACTTCTCAGCTCTGCACATTGGGAATTAAGTTTCAGCGTGAGTTTTATAGGGAACATTCTAGCTTGGCACCCTTTTGTCATAGAGAAGTTCAGGGAGTACTTTCGGAAAGGTCATCTTGTATCAGGCCTTTCCCAATCAGGCAGCCGTGGGTTCTCAGCTGTCTCGTATGTTGGCTTCATAACCTCCGGCAAGTCATCAACCTCTCTAGCTCCACTTTCCTTATTTATGGACTGAGATGGCAATGCCTGTCCTGTGAAGTACTGTGGGGAGAAGTTTGGGCAGTGCCGGGCTGGAGGGAGAAAGGCAGAGTGAGGCGCCATCAGTTGGGTGCTCAGTATAGTCTCTACATCCCTGGTCCATTGCTTCCCCAAATCTCCTACCCCCCTCCCACCTCCTGAGCTAGTTCTCCTTCCACACAGGAAACGCAGCCAGCTGTGAAATGAAGCACCCTCGGGTACCCACACCCTCAGTGCAGGGTGTGGGGTGACATTCCACTGATGTTACTCCCCTCACTTCAGTGCAGCCTGAGGGAGAAGGTGGGGACGGGTAAGAGAGCACAGCCAGTGGTTCCACCTGCATCCTTACTTGAAAGCAAGGGCCTTTGTCAGGCCTCCCTCAGTTCCCCCCACCCCGGTGTATCATGCACTGTTGGTGAAGTCAGATGAAACTGGTTCAAGTTTGGGGTTTGCCACATGTTGTGAGTTGGGGGTCATTCTGGGCGGACTGTGGCATGTCTGTGAACCTCCATTTCCCCATCACAAGCTGGCACGGACCTCTCCTGTAGCGCCTCAGTTTTGCTCTGAGGGCAGAATCAAAGCGAAAGGACATTTGTAAATGTGTCTGAAAACTGTAAGTCCCTCCTGGCTGAAGAGCAAAGGTTTATTACAATCACTTACGTTTTAAAAGCTACACAGTCTTTCAGACAGATATTTTTGTTATTCTAGGAGCCACATATCTGAGCCCTGCTATGATGAAATTGGAGTGGGACGCTTTGTGAATTTAGGCTGTTCATCCTGGCACCCTGCCCCAGGGATGGGGCCCCAGGAGGACTCCTTTCTGATAGCTGTAAAATCCTGGGACACCTTCAGAGGGGGCTCAGGGAGCTGCCCGGGGAGTAGCTCTCCCTAGCAGTCTGGGGGAGGGCCTGTGAGGATAGTGGGCTGGTGGACATTGTTTATGATGGTTACAGTTTTCCTGCTACCAGTGAATTGGAGTTGACCCGAGAGTTGCCCTCATTACTCTCTCTTGTCCTTGGAGAGTTTGAGAAGGTGGTCTTGGGGTCTCCTGTGCATGGCAGAGAGAGATGGTCAGCACTTTGGATGCCAGCTCTTTTCTTCCTGATACAGAAAGGTCAGAGAGCTTTCACGGTTGTGTTTGAGATGCTGCACATTGGAAATTGAGGACAATTTCCAGATGTGGCTTGGCTTCTTCTTGGTGAGGCCAGAGAAGATCACTAGTTTGCAGGGCCCAGTAACTCTCCCTTCACTGGGGTGCTGGGTGGCTCAGAGGGCGTCGGGGAGGGGGAATTACCCACCACATATGAGATGCTCCACAACTCATGTCGGGTGGATGGATTCTTTGAACTGTGATGCTATGGACAGTGCAACAGTATTTTTGTTATATTCTTAAGATTTGAGTAGAAGATTCACTGGCTCTAAAGTAAGCTGGGTTCCCCCAAAAGGCTAATGAAACTAAGCAAAGGGTGTCTTACTGCATCTTGTTGGTCAGAAGAAATCGTTCCCCAGAGAAGGAGCAGTCCCCCAGCTGAGCCTGTGGAGGGTCTCTCTGGCCAGAGACGACTGGGCCCTGGGGCAGGACGGCTCCTGCTGCTGCCTTGCTTTCCTCACAGGGCTTTGCTTCTTCTGTTTGGCAGTGGATACTGTTGAGTCAGTTGGGCACATTTCATGGGGATGCCAGTATGTTAGCAGATAATTCAAATATTAAAAATTTTACTCTGGAGAACAGGCACCCTTGCTCCATGACTCATAGTTCAGGCCCTTGGGATACAGAAAAATAAGCCCAACACAGACCCTGTGGAATGATAGTGGCTGTGAAGCCCCACAGCCCTGCTTCTGGTCTTGACTGCTGTATTTTGCCAAGTTGCTATGTGCCTTGAGTGTTACTTATGCTCTGAACTGTGGTCCTCTCTGGGAAGTGTCGTGACACAGCTATCTCATAGGGTGTTTGGAAGAATTAAAGAGACTCACACAGACAGACCTGTCCCTTGCCATGGAACTAGTGCTTACAGATAGAGCTTTCTTTGTCTCTATTTTTTTTTCTCTCTCTTTCTCTCTATTTATTCCCTTAAGGAGCTCCTAGGAGCTTTTCTAGGAGAAAAGATTTATCTCAAATAAGAACAACATCAACAGTACTGTGGGTGCTCAGTGAGACCCCAGTGGCAGAGCGGCCCAGTCCTGTCAGCAGGAGCCCTTCAGAGGAGGGAAGTCACCTCGAGGTGGGTGGGATGCTCAGCAGGACTTGCTCAGAGTGGACCATGTGGGAAGGGCCAGGTCAGGAAGCTAGATGGTAGCCTAGTGAGGCTGCAGACCAGAGAAAGTGAGTTCTGTCTGCCACCCTCACTGTTGAGCATACCCTGCGTGGTGGTGCAGGGTCTCCATCCCTGGCTCTGGCACTGGCACTGCCCCCTCCCACCACCCTTGTCACTTGTGCTGTAGATCCTCTGTTGTGGGCTCACTGGTTTCTAGTCCCCAGCCAGGGCTTTGGCCTCCCTCATCCCC